TCACAGAGGCAGTAGTTTAATAACTGTTGAGCTACATTCACCTCCACAAAGGTTTATATTTTCATCTGCACTTTGTTTGTTTGCAGGATTACGCAAAAACGATTTCCAAGGAAACTTTGTGAAGGAGTTGAGCGTGACAAGTGAAGAACTGAAGGATTTTACTCCTCATTCGATCAGAACGCTGATTAAAATGTTCCTCATTCCTTCCTGCGGCTGTTGGACAGGAAATGGAATAACACCGCGATGGAACACAATGTTTTCATGTAGTTGTTACACAGAACATCTGATTGTGGTTATGTTTGTATATACTTTTGGTCAGTGGTTAACTTCAGTATCTGCAGCGAGAGAATCTGGATTATATAATGTCCCATTTCTTCTCATCATAATTAGTTTAATCTAAACTTCAGGGATAAGTTTCATATCTAATTCACATTAACACACACTCACATACACACAGAGCAGTGTTTGGGTCTCTGCTCCCCAGATCTGCGTTGCATCAAAAAACGGTTGTGGCATTTTCTGGCCGACCTGCACTTCCTCATATAACCGATCACTCCGAGCTGTTATTTTCCACTTCTGCAGCTCTTTTGTTGCAGAGGACACGGGGCATTGATTTGTTTCTGCGTTATCATTTAAATTATTGACTTTGCATCCCAGTCAAATTGTTGACAAACACGATTGTCAATGTGGACGTTGCTTCCTGTATCTGTGCCACAAGGCCAAGTGCACGATCAGATAATACAGTACCTGAAAGTTTCTGGCTTGCAGCTGTACCAGTTTTTACTTTAAGGTCCAATACAAAGGAGGTAGTATGTATAAAACACATTTCACACGATTGGAAATGTCTGGAAGGCTTCCAGGGAATCTGACAAACTCGGGATGAGGTGCAGGAAACACAAGATTTAAACAGAAGAACTAATGGGAAACAGCTGAGACCAATGATCAATCGTTCAATCGGCGAGGACGAGGAGTGAGGTGATCTGAAATCAGACTCAAAGGTAAGTAACAAAACATTTTACTATATCAGGGTCACACTGTCCTGACGCTGACTCCAAATAATTATAATAATATTTTGGCCTCATTTCTGGATAGCGGCAGGAAGTGGAGATGCGTCATCCATCTTTATTTACAGACACTGACCTGGACTTCATGTGCAGCACAGAAGAAAGATAGTAGAGATTTGGTATAGAGATGATGTTACGCAACATATCCCCCCCCCCCCCGTGCACACACACACACACACACGTACTGACCCAGCAGCAGCTCTGAAAATATTTCCCTATGGATTAAAATCCCTTGAACGATTTTTCTTTAGATCATTCAACTGAATCTGCTCAGTCACCGAAACAAGCAGTTGGAGATGCATTTAAGATTTTTGATTGTGTAATTGTTGTTGACGTCACGACAAAGAGAATGAGTCTTGAATTTCAAACCTACAGTTCAGAACATCAGCACAGAACAGAGCAGCAGCTGGACCGACACCACGGAGCCTCATCACAGTCGAGTATTAAGTTAAACATACAAACACTAAGTTTGTTGCACTGCTCGGTGTTAGATACAGAAATAGACAGTAGACAGTAGGAGGTCGGTGATATTCCTGACTCCTCCGTGACAGGAGCCGTGTGTTTAGTTTATTCATTCAAGGACACGTTGCTCCAAGAATTGATTTGGTTTATTTTGGGGTATATAGTGCACATGCCTGTCTCTACGGCTTAGTGTGCATGTCTGTGCTTGCGTGTGCTATGTGTCTGTCTGTAGTTATTCCTGTGCACAAATCTACAATGTGGGACTGTTTCAACTCTGCGTCTATGATCCTCGGCGGCAACATGATCCACGAACACAAAGGATGAAAAATAAGAGACGCGCGGTTCAACTTTGCAGTGAAAGTTTTACATCTTTTACATCGTGAGGTTAGTGCCCGATAGTGGAGTCAGTGGAGCGTCCTGAAGACACAACACTGCTCGCTGTCGTGAACTCTCGTCTTGTCAACGCAATAATGGCTGAAGCAGAGAAAAAACTTACATGATAAGTCTTCAACTGTAGGAGAAACAAAACTCACAATATATCCCATGATGCCACACTTCACTGCACGTGAAGGGAGGCCCACAAGGAGAGATAATCGTGGCCTGTTGGTGTTGGTTCTTTTCTTGGCGTCTCAGTGTTGGTGCTAGTCTTGATGTGGGTCTCAGTCTTTGTCTCGGTGTGGATGTTTGTGTTGGTGTCGGTCTTGGTGTTTGTGTTGGTTTGGGTGTTGGTCTTGGGCTAATCTTGGTGTCGGTCTTGTTGCTGCTGATTATATTGGTTTCGGGTTCTGAGGGAAAAGCAGCAGGAGCAGATTTAAATTCCTTCGGCTACATCAGAGACATTTTTAGCCAGAGTGTGAATCCTGAGCGATGTGGCCTCATCACATCAGAGCTCGGGTGATAAGAAAATATTTCTGACACAAGTGTAAAGGCATGTGAAGCACGGAGTCATTAAGGATTTATTTGTGAACCGCTGCTGAGAATTGGATGACGTAATGTTTGAGGACAGTCCTGTCGGTCAACACTTGTAACTCCTGCTGGAATGTGCTGAACATTGCAAACAGGTGATATATAACAGCAAAAGAAAGAAGCTCTGTTAAACTAACGGTCTGAGAATATTTCTCCGTGTCCCATGAGCACCAGGGAGTGTGTTGTTATTGAATGCTGCGATAGTACTGGTCTGTTATCTTCCAGAAAATAAGAGTCGATCCTCTCGAGCTCTGTGAGACGGTCTGGAAAGAACCTGGGAACTGTTTTGTTCAGGTCTCTACTTAGTAGAGTTGGGGATGTTTTGGGTTTGTTTCCAATACAGGTGCTAAATGAATACTTTTAATAAATCAAACTTAACCCAACCACACTAAATAACTGTTTCAGTGGTTAATACAATAAGATACCACAGCTCCGAATCCGTCATCAATCGTCTGTCCACCGTTAGGGACAGGGACGCCCACAGTGCCGGCTGATGGGTTCACGTTAGCAACCAAACACGGAGCATCCCTCTGCTTTCATATGTGTCATGGCATCAAGGCATGTGTGGTGACGTCAATGTTGCGTGTAAAGAGGGCGACGAAATCCGACGATTCGGTTTGGTAGGTACCGGCCGGGTGCCTGACTGGCTCCGGATTTCAGTCCAAGGGCCAACTCCTCAACACAGTCATAGACATCCTGAGGCCAAGGCGCGTCCTCTTGGCTCAGTGGGTCACTGTCGTGGTGAAGGGTTATGTTCAAGTTTATTTGGCAGCATTCAACCTTCCAGCTGGCAGGTCTCCCTGTCCCTGCTGCTGTGACGCACCGGCACAGCCATGATGGCGCTACCACTATTCTCCACCGTGGGGATGGTTTTAGCCAGGTGATCAGCAGTTGCTGGAGATTCATCCGACAGCGTTTGGAGTTCTGCCCAAAGAGTTCAACCGACCGGAGAATCTCTTTCCCATTGCCGTCGAGAGTCCTTAAGTGTTTGGCATCAGTTCCAATTTCACTCCAGTGGAAAGTTTCCATGACATTTTGTGGAGGCTTGAAACATGACCCAAGGGAGAGACCATTAATCCAGATACACCGACCGATCCAGGAATTGTTTTTTGAACTTTGACGTCAGCCTTGGGGGAGACTGGCTCTCTGATAACCTTTCTTGTTTTAGGGTTGTGAAACAAAAACGTCTTTGCCGTCCCTCAAGGGACACACTGGACAGGACTGTCCTGGGCGATGAATCAAGGAGACTTGGACACTGGTGGAGCGACACTGACCAGTCAGTTATGATGTGATGCACAGAAATCATAAGAGAGTTGGAGCCTCCGTGTGATGACGGGACATCGCCGGCAGTCGTCTTCCTGCTCAGATGTTACGTAAAGTTATTTTCTGAATGGCCGCGACTCGTTGAATAACATCAGGCCTCATTTCAAGATGCTGAGCTCCTCATTAAACTGAATTAAGTTGATGTTACAGTCCCTCGGAGGGATGTTCTGTACAGTGACGATGGGGAATGATGGTGAGGCGCTGAGACAGTCGGTGCAGCCTCATGTTCCCGGTAAAGAAACTCCTCCGGGTTTGTTCGTGATTCAAAGAAGAGAACAGGAAGAACTGAGGCTGTGCATGAATCTTCTGCTTTTTGCAGGAAAGAGACACTTTGCTGCTGTCGGTTCAATTAAAACGTCTGGTTCTACAGCACCAATGTGCAGAGAGCTTCCTGTTCCTGTTTCAGGAATCAGAAGAAGTTCAAATACAACGTGTGCATACAAAGTTTTCAACCCAAAAAATTACACAATGAAATATTGTGTGGTAGTGTTTTCTGTAAAAGCACATGATACTACAGCTGCTTTATCAGATCTACACTGCCACCTAGTGGTCCAAACAGAACAGAACGAGGGTTTAGTTCATATCTTTTTAACATTGGTTGAATAATTTTACTTAAATGTAGATTTTCAGGTCAGGATTTGTAAAGTTGAAGTGGGAAACTTATTTAGGTTTGACGGATAAAGTTCATAGTTACACCTGAGATTTAGATTTCACATAGAAAACGGTCTGAGCACTGTATTGTGGTTGGATTGTAGAAATTATACTTTTTCTTTCAGTCAGTTAAAACATTTTTTAGTACTATAGATTAAAACTGTAAAAGTGTTCGGGTTAGGTTTTGGGATAACGCAGCAGCCACATGAATCCAGTCACAAGTGCTGAACGCAGAAGTACAGGAGAATATAGCTGAGCCACATTTAATGTAATTTCTATTTTTTTTTTTACTTGGGTCTACATTCATTTTTAATAAGATTTTAATATGAAAACAAGTCAACTATGAAGTGCAGGTTTAGTGAAGCCGTGATATTTTGACAGCCATTGTTGTTTTATAGTTCAGTTATCGTCCGACGGCTTGAATTCACTGTGTAAATGGTGAAACAGATTCACAGCAACAACAATTAATACATTTAAATTACAAACTGGCTTCAGTTGAAGTTTCTGTTGATTTTCCAACAGATTAAAGAAACACTTTTTTATTCAAGTATCCAAAAACCAAATGAAAACAAATGTTGACACATCTGAGCCACGATGCTACATCCAACACAACGCTACAAAAATATGTATAAAAAGATTCAACATAAAATCTTCCAAAAGAAACTCAAACAACTTCCCCACATTCACAGTTCAGGGCTTCAGAGTAACTGCAAGACGTTAGTTTTCAGACACAGAAGTTTAACTCGAGGAATCGTTTCAAAAATGAAAATCACATTAAACCTCGCTGCAACACTTAGTGGGGCAGGATGAGACTTTTCCACCGTGGTCTTTTTCTTAAAGCCACAGGAATTGAGTCGACTAATTCCTCTGGAAGTGTTTAAAAATTAATACTCAATTTTTCTGGTTTCAAAATAAAGCTGAGGCGATTCAGAAACCAAATTAAATATCCTGAGAAAAAGTGGCCTGAAATCACCACATCCCCAAAATCGATTTAATACCAATTCACCCAGGTAAAATAAAAAGCTCATTTAAGTCCAAATCAATAATCCTGGTTTTGTTGTTTTATATCTTTGCAGCTTCACACAGGGAAGTTCAAAAATCTGCAAAGTTTCTAAAACTCGAGCGCTGAATGTAGAATTAGAGGTTGGTGTTGTCGTCAGTCTGAAACACAGATGTTTTAACCTTCGCCCTGTGTCCAGCTCGTCGGGACAGCACCACCCTCTCCCTCAGGGCGAGAAACGTCTCAGCTGTCCCCGCCGCTCGTCCACATCAGGAAACGCTGGAGGTTAGCCCACCCTGAGGGGCGGAGCTACGAGCACCACGCCGTCTCCTCTGACAAACAGCATGGGGATGTTCCTCTTGGTCGACTGACAAGGGAACAAAACAATTTATTAATGCTTATATGTTCTATCTATTTCCATAAACTTGTTTATTATTTATTTTCACTGATGTATTCTCAATCGGACTTTCTCCGGATATTTTATTTCGGGGCTGGCAGAAAAAGATTTAGGAGCAACTGGCTCAGATATTAGATTTTCAGTGAGAATATTTAGGATTCTACTTCAAGAGCGAACCGATGTAGAGTTTTAATAATAACGCAGCATCGCTGGAGCGTTTCCTGTAAACAGGTCTGTGTTGTACCTTGTAAAGTTCTTCGTATGTCTCCTCGTCAATCTCCACCGTCGTCACCGTCTCCTCCACATCACCCAGGATCATGTTCAGATGCTGATCGTAGGCCTGGAAACAAACACACGAGACAGGATCACCAGGAATTCACCAGAAGCCACAAAGCCACTTATTTAGAGAAACTGTCCGGAGGCCGTGCTGTGTTTAAATTCCCCGTCTGCAGCTGTAAAACAGAGAAACCCACAACACTGGCTCTGTTCAGATCTGTTCTCGACATCTGTCCTGAGAGGTCTGATCACCTCCGGACAGCTCTGTGTTCGTCAGCTCAGCCCTGGCATTATTTTCCTGCTCCATGTGCAAACAAAAAACGAATGTCACGTCTGTTCACTGCGACCAAATCGTGTTTTGAGCCAGTCCGAGTTTCCAGATGTGTCTGTTGTCACTGTGTTCGTGTGGCTGAGTTCGTCACGTCCAGACACAGAGCGAGGAGCAAATCAAGATTTTACGCATTTGTTTGTCAGTGTTGATATCGTGGCCGCAGATAAGATCACTGGATGTGAGGCAGCGAGATGTTGAAGAGGCGCGAGAGTAGCTTACATGCAGTCGGCCGCGGAGCTCCCTGTCGTTCCTCATCTTGACGTAGATTCGCTCATCGAGACTGAGTCTGATCAGATCCAGCGGCTCCTCCACCGTGTTGGTCGTCGGTTGCTGCAGCGAAAAACGAAAGAATATTAGTCGCGACGGATAAAGATTTAAACACCCACAGTCAGAAAGTACTGCCTCTGTAACCTCACACGTCATCATTGTTTATGAGACTGAAAAAAAGAAAGTGCATTAAAAGAATTTCAAACTTTAACAGAAGTGGTTGTGACTGTGGAGAACAGGTAGAGAGCAGACACACACTGCTGACCACTCCCTGTCTACACACATTAACACAAACACAATCTATCACGTGTACACTTCACACACATACTCCTCTGTACAATGTGTACATGTACTTGTTTCACTTATTCCTCTTGTACTTTTAGTTCCTGCTCCGACTTGGTACTGAGTCAGATTCAGAATCAAGCTTCATTATGAACAAACCACACAAACCAGAGCTGATGCACTCACTCTCTTTCCTTTCAACAGTGAATCCACAAACAGACTTTTATTTAATTTCCTGGCACGTGTGGAAACTATTTATCTTCCAATACAACATAAACTGTTGTCATATATAGATATATCTAGATATATATATATTCACACTCTCTGTATCATGCAGCTTATATTTAAACTGCAGCTCAGCTTTTAAACTTCGTTCAGAAAAAACAGCTTCGATCAGAACCGAACCCAAAACAACACGTTGTTTAATTCAAACCTTAGCATCACATGCTAACCAGGCTAACTCGGCTAGCTTGCGTGACGGGCCTCTGCGGGCTGTTAGCAGAGCAACAACACACAACCCGACACAACGAACACACAACCCGACACACAACCCGACACACAACGTCACGTCACGTCGGCTGAAGACTCGAGTTTTTACGCGAAGTCGGAATAAAACACGAGAAACGAGCCGCAGCTGCACGAACCTGCTCCACCTCGTCCGCCATGATGGTTGCGTCTGCGCGGGTTGCCAGGTCCGCTGAAGTCACGTGCTTTCACTGCAGGAAAGAGTTGCAAGAGAAACGTGTACAAATACTGTGTTTACTATACATATATATATATATATATATTTATATATGTATATACAGAAATATATATGTAGACAAACGTGAATCCAAAAATAAAAACATGTGAGGTAGTTTTTTTTAACTTCTTTTAAATCGTTCTTTTTAAAATGAATTTTTATAAACTTGCCGTCTCGTGATGTTGTGTTTTGTTTTTTTATCGTTTTCTTTTCACCTTTTTCTTTTCCTCGTTCATTTATTTTGATTGTCACATTGCTGTGTCATCATGTGTTTCCGTGCTGCTCTGTATCTGGTTTCCCGGTCGTCCGGCCTCCTCGCCTCTTTCCGCTGATTCTCTTGTTTCTCTCATATTTACTTTTCTTGCTTTGCTGTCGAAGCTCTTTGTAACCTCAGTTTTTAAAATAAAGTTGATTATTATTATATTTCTTTGATTTCTCTTGACACTTTCACTACGTTCACACTGCAAAGACTCAGAGCTCAATTCTTTTGTGTAGCTGTTCACATTATGTTTTAAGGCAGATTTACCTTTAGCCTCAAGTTCGACCTGTATCGTTGATCACAAGGCCAAAACACCTGATGATGCTAAGGTGCACAACTGGACTTACGTCCCTAACATCTGCTGGAGGCCTCTAACATCTGCCAACATCTGCTGGAGGCCTCTAAC